ATATATATATATATATATATATATATAGTATATATATATATGCATATATATATAAATATAATACATATATATATATAATATGTATATAATATATATTATTATATGTACGCATATATCCGCATATATATATATATATATATATATATGTAAATGTATATATATATATATATATAAACGAATAGATATACATATATATATATATATGTATGAATATAACTATAAAAGTATATATAAATATGTGTACATGAATATGCACACGTATATGTTTATCGGTTTCAATATGTTTATCCGTATCTTTATGTATATATATATATACGTAATATACATTAGGCATATGCATAAGCAAAGGCATGTGCATAGGCATAGACATAAACAGAGGCATATATATATATGTATATATATATTCTTATAAATATATATATTGTACATATACATATATATATACATACATACATACATACATAATTACACACACACACATATATATATATATATATATACAATATGTACATATACATATACATACACACACACACACACACACACACACACACACACATATATATATATATATATATATATAAATATATATATATATATATATAATTGTTCCGTTTCATTGTCAATTCTAACACGTATTTCTGCAGAAGTACAAATTTGAAAAATGCTCTTCATATGAATACAACGCAGATACTTTTAAGTTAAGGAATCATACACCGTAAGCACAAATTTAAATGCCGTCATATATCCGCGTGTATAGTTAGAAATTTTTGAACTTGTATAGTTCAAAAACTATCCTATACATGCACAATACGTATTTGTTCACCTAGAAGTGTGCCGCTTGTGGCGTAGTAAATCACTCCATAGTCATTCATTGCCCTGAGAAATCTTCCCGCGTATCGCCGAATATTATATTTCTTTGCTGATATTTTTGTGTACACTGGGGATGCGTATCTCATCAAGGGTGCAGGTTTCAGAGTCTGATTTGCGGTGGGTAAACCTGGGCACTTGTTGAAGTATCTTCCCTGCATACGTATTGTGCTATTATTCCTTGCCCATGATGAGTTGTTGTTTGTGAACTGCAGATGTCCATACCGGTCGGCTTGAATGTGTTTCATATCCTGTACATGATCATGCTGTTTGAGTTGGTATACATCGTCTCCAGATTCATTTTCGTAGTATTCTTGCGAATATAAACGTGTTTCCTTCATTGCTACCAACGGAAACTCGATTTTTTTCGTCGCCAACAAACTTACTGTAATAACTATTCCTAGACATATTGTGAACGCCGCCAATTTAAATACTAAATATATAACCGCAGAAGTGGCACTTCGACCTGTGACGGCTTTTGAGATTGACACCTTTTTGTTGGCAAGGAACATGCTGTATTAATCCTATGCGTAGCTGTAGTCGAATTCCAATGACGTGCTCTAAGAACTTACTAGACTCGCGTGCTTAATGAACTGCGATTTGTGTGTCAAGGATGCTTTTCAGTTTCCATATGTATATGTAAGTATATAATATTATCCATAATTACAATTAGTTCAGACTTTGTCCAATGTTCCTTAGACAGACTCTCTCAATGACTCTTTCTCTCAGATCGAGAAAGGGGCTGAACCGCTGAGCCGCAGAGCCGTAAGGTATTTATATACATAACAAGGCAGTATGTATTGTAAAGGAGCTGTAAATTAAGTTTTATAAATTGCTTTTTCTATATAATATTTCTAATTTATATAAAACCATGTACAGTCACCCTGGTTACAGATGGTTTGATTGGCGTGTAGCACATTTGTACTCCTTTGTTTTTCTCTCTACATATTTGTTTTTGTAAAAACAAAATGTATGTATTAGGCGGGCCGCGGACCATCACCACACTCTCTGGTGGGGAACACCGTCCACACCCCACACTGCAGTTTGCACAGTCCACAGTCCACACGGCACACAGTACTGACATCTGGCGGGAGTCACGGCTGACGGCACTGATGAGTCACTGACGCCCGCGGCAGTGAGCGGCACCGTCGCACCGGTGACAATTTTTTTTGTTGCCCGGTCGGATTTTCGAGATATTTTGTAAGTTCTCGCACCGGGCCCGGCCGGGGTGTTTATAAAACAAAAATTGAAAAAGGGAAGGGAATGGGGTCAGGCCGTTAGGGGAGCCTCTGGGGAGGCCGTAGGATACCATCATGGGAAGTTGAGAACAATATAAATATATAAATACCAATATAAATAGAAATACTAAAATATATATTGAAGAATAATTCAAGACATATATATAAATATAGTTATATACCGTGTGTAGCTCTGTGCTTTAACAAATACCGTGTGAAGTTATGAACATTCACAATGCATTGAATGTAGATATATAAATTTTAATATCTATAGAAATAGTAATATATATATATATATATATATATAAATATAAACACAATACATTATGTATTTATGATTATATATCATGTGTACCTGTGTACATTCAATCAAAACCACCATGTTAAGTTGTGAACATTCAATGTATTACATGTAGGTAAATATATACTGTTACACGAAATACTTATATATTTATAT